ACATCATAGCACATAAGTTCAAACATTAGAGAGGAGAGGGGAATTGGCACCAAGCTAGAAAAACTCTCTCTGAGTGCAAGTATCCTAAAAATCCCAGGAAGCATCACCCTTGCAACCTTAGAGTTTTCCATAACCTTACTCTAAGCATCCCATCCATCATAGGCCTTGTTACAACCCTAGGAAACCTAGAGGATCCTGTAGACATGTAAATTTCGTTGGATACAAATGATGTTGTTGAAGTTCCTTTTGAGTGCAAATATAAGGATAGTATAGCGGTACAAGTAAGGGTTTCGAACCACAGGGACTGAGAAACAACTTAATAAAACCTTTGACTCTTACAAATTAGTATTAGTTAAAGACTCCCATGATTTAAAATGGGGGGTTTGAGTAATTTTGGAAAAGAAATAAAAACAGAAAGAAAAGGGAAATATTAGAACTATCTAAAAACAAACCTAAGACAGGGAATAGGTTAGAAACGTTTTTAGGATATAAATCTGATTTCAAATGAATAGAGGCCTTCCCTAAACATTCATGAATTAGTGATATGATCTTTTAACTTATCCCTTTCAAATGCTCAACTAAGATGTTCACATATCTAGCATGGCATATAACTAAATTGTATGAATCCTCTCTTACTTTGCATGTTAGATGCATGACATATACGTAAAACTTATATTTGTAGGTGCAGCCTAGCATGGCATATACTCAGATTTAGCACCTAGAAACTCATTAAGAACAAATAGACGTATGAACATCACATGAACCCTAGAACATGGCATTTATCCTAGAACTTCATGGAATCAATTTACATGATTAGTTCTGAACCTAACCACATGTTGCTAATGAATGAAAAAAGATATGGCAGTCATTCTTATCATTCTCAACATAAAGCAAACATAAACAAGGTAGCTAAGCTTGAAAATATGTGCTTAAAATGATTGAAACAGAAAACTGATTCTAGCTTACAAATGAAATTGATAAACTAAAACTGCATTATAACATTAATTCAATAATGTCTAGGGCTTCAAAGCAGCCCTAAGTATCCATAAACTAAATTAAAAATATAACAAAATACATAAAAAGTTAGGAAAGCTAGAACATAGAAACTACTCAAGGCTGAAGACTTCTGCTCTCTCCAGATTCTCCCCGTTTTTCCTCATGTAGTGTATTTGTCTCCTATTAAAAGGCTTAGGACTTATCTAACATCTGACACATTTACATCCTTGAATTGAGTCTCATTTATAACTCATAACAACCAGCTTTTAGTATTGGAGTAACTAAAAACTAGCTGTTATCAGAATTTGTAACTGAACATCTCCTCTTTATTCTATTATAACTTCTTGTCGAACTCTCCAAATCACAAGTTGTAAAGACCATCAGAAAGAAGACTTCCAGGGCTTTCTAACCATATATGGCCCATTTTCGAATTCATTCTGAGCACTTCAGGGCAAAGCTCTCAAGTTGGCTGTTCTGTAAGGGCCTTTTCTAGCGAATCTTGGGCCACTTGTTACAAAATTCAAAATAAGATGATTTCTTCGAGTCCTTAGTTTCATCCTGAAATACAATAAAAACAACAAAATACCTTGTGATACATAGAGATTTTAAGTCAAAAACCTAAGTAAAAGAGGGCATATAAATATAACTTTATGCACTCAACAGATACATGACAAATCTCCACGTGCCATCACAAATGGACAAGTCTTCAATGACATATGGCACAAATCAAGAAAAGGAAACATAAAATCTTCCTAAATATCGGCACAAGGGAGAAAACTCCCTTAAATTCGACAAAAGGGTCTAGATTGGTCATAAAACCAGAAAGAAAGTTAAGGCATATTCATAAAACAAGAAAGAATTGAAATTAAGACACAAAACGTGCCTAAATTCTCCCATGGACAAATTAGGACATAAGTCAAAGCCAAATCCACCCAAAGGCAAGCCTTGAGAAGCCTATAAATACAGGGTCCTCCTATAAGCATAAGGGTTGAAAAATTTCTACACAGAAGAACCTCTGCCAAACCTTTGAAGACTAATACGCTGCCAAAGCTTTCTTCAAAGAACATTCAACTGAAGCAACTCTCTTCAAAGAACATTCAACCAAAGCCGAAGCAATTCCTTGAAGAATCAACAAGCGCTCGTGCCGATTCCTTCAAGAATTTGTTGCAATCTTATAAACTTGTAGCAACATTCATTTCAAGATCAAGTGGCCAAGACCCTTGAAGCAAAAAAATCTCGTATCAAACACTACCCTTGCCACACCTTAGAGGTCAAGATCATCCATGCATTGTTTTCAAGGTCAAAACTTGAAGCAATTGTTCAAATCATTCGTCCAAGATCAAGTCATTGCGACCCTTGGATCAACAATTAACCATCTACATCAAATTTGAAGACTGAATCAGAGGAAAAGTTGTAATCAGAGATTGTAATCTACAAATTCAAATCAATACAAATCTACTTTATACACGTGTTTTCGTTTCATTCGATACAGAATTTTCGTATTTACAGATCCAACGAAGAACCCTATTCAACCATGCAAACTCTCTCTTTCTCTCTCTCTTATACTAAATTGATGAACTTCTAGTTTCCACACCATGCCTCACCTGAGCAAGCCATATTTGCTTAATCATGCTATCTTCAAGTTATTGGTCTAACCAGAGTATTTCCTAAGGCATGGTAATTCTTTTGAGATATTTAGGGGCCTAGTATGAAATCAAACCAAGGAAGACAAGACGATGTTCACAATGCCCAAGTTCACCTCGACCTAAAAGTCTCCCAACAACTAGCATCAAATATCTTCTAGGTTTTCCATCTCATCTCTTCACATTACATCCTTGGTATGGAGAATTAGAGCCACCAACCTTTTGGTGCTTGGAGAATCCTTTCACCAAATCTTCAAGAAGCAAAGGAGCAAGGAAGAAGCAAAATTCCAAGGATTCAAGGAGCCAAATCCGTGGAGCATATGAAGAGGAATGCAGGCCCTCACATGGGTGATAACCTTGTGAAAACAAGGATGAGCTTGAAGGGAATGAAAGCTCAATCTTTCTTCTTCATTTTATGAAAAGAGTCTTGGTTCACCATCCACTAGGCCTTGAATTTCATGAGACTTAGATTTTTTTGTTAGTTCATGCTTTACTTTAATTTAATATATGCATTTGTTACTCAAATAATTTGTACATAGTGGGAACGAGGGGGAGGCAAAGGCAAAAGGGGAAAGAAACGCAAGGAATGACTGCGAAGAGGGAAGATTTGGAAGGTGAGAATGAAATAGGAAGAGGCTAAAAGAAGGTGGAAGACGGGTTGTCACCAACCCCAAGCCAGAGCAAGGGGTTGCGGCAAGAAGGCTTTCAAATCAGGATTTTCAGAGAAGAGAAGGCACAGGGCTCGAGAGGGGCCTGCATAGTTATAGCCATTATTCACTATTTGGTTGGTTTAGTGTTAGAGTGCAATTTTGTTCAACCCTTTAAACTAAGGGTGATGTTCATCCTCTTGTTGATTGCCGATAAATTAGTTTAGTTTAATTGATTTAAAACATAAATTTCAAAATTTAAACTAATCTAATGGCAATAAATGATGGGTGAGCATCACCCTTACTTTAAGGGGTGAGCAAAAATGCTCTCTTAGTGTTAGGCATTGAAAGAACAAAAGGAAGAGACTAATACTACATTTGGATGAGGGAAATAAACTTGGAATTTTGATAAAAGTCAGAATTTATAAATTGACATGCACAAATTCCCTTGTTTGGATTCATAAACCTAGAAGTTTAGAATTTCTGCGTGGAAAAAAATTGGAATTTGGGACCTTCAATTCCCAAGTTTAAATTTCATATAAATAGGTGTCATTTCTTAATTTATATGATTGAGAGTTTAAAAATAACAAATTCCGTATTCAATTCCATTGTTCTTTTAGGTTAACCAAACAAGAAAATTCACAAATTCTAGAAAATAAATTCGCATCATTTCAATTTCCTTCATTTTAAAATTCCTTAGTAATCTTAAATTTCTTCATCCAATTATAGTGTAAGGGAAATGATAAACGCACATGTTTTTTAGCCTCTTGCACACCCCATATTAAACATAACCGGTTGATTTTGTTTGGCTTATTTAATCCAACGGATAAAAAGAAAGACGGATGTATGAGAAGCTAAAAAGAATGGTAAAAAAAAAAAAAAAAAAAAAAAAAAAACTAAAAAGAATGTGCCAAAATCATTTCTAGAAGAGTAATTATAATATCATAGACTCCTATAAAGTGAAAGGGCTAAACTAAACATACTTGTAGCTATACCCATTTGCAATTATATATGTACATAAAATAAATAAATAAATAAATAAATGTTATGAGCCTCACTGCCCAGTTCCAAATTTTGAATTGAATGCTCTAGATTATAAAGTTTAGCCTGTGTCATGCAGCCAATTAAGTACCTTTGCCATTGAACTAAGTTTTCATTGCTAATAGTAAATATAACAAGCACCAAATCAAATTCAATTATTTCATATTAACACTGGCCATGACTAAAATGCCATAGAATGCATCTCTAGCGCCCAAAAGTTATATAGCGATCGATGGTGACTCGTGCCATAAAATAATCGCAAGTATTGATATTTCTGTTTTTAATTCTTCTTTTACACTATTAAAAATCACTTACAATTCTCTCTTTCAGAAATCTTGAAGATTATGCAGACCCTCCATCTAGATTATAAAGTTTCAAACTTACTTTATGCATTCCAAATATTATTTCATCTTATTGTGCTTTGAAAATGTAAATTTGTAGATGAATTAAATTATCCAATTAAGTGTGTTAAACCCCCCCATATTTAGGCCTTAAAGTCAATGGTAATGCATGATCATTGCTCATACCCCGATAAACACGGCCAGGTTATCCACCAGCCATGCACTTTGACCTGGTTCTCATACCCTCCAAACCATCCTTTGTCCGAAACAACAGTTGAGAAAAGTATTAATACCTGGCGGCAATTTCATAGCCCGCCAAAAGGAAAGAGATCCAGAATTAACTCTTGATCTCTTCTCCTTGGGAGCCTTTATACCTTTGTTACGCACTCTCCTGGGATTTGTATACCTTTAATTGTTTTCCTCTTAAGTTCATACCTTTTAACTGTTTCTCTCTAGAGATCTATACCTTTCGATAGCGAAAATGCCTCGAGGAACTCTTGAAGTTAACCTCGTTAATGCCAAGGGCCTTAAAAACACAGAGTTTTTTGGTAAATTTCGCTCTCTTTGATCTGACTCACAATTTTTTTGTGTGCAAATATATATTTTTTGTAATGGTAAATATAACGTGACCTGTTGATGAGTTGAGTTTGGTATTGTCATTCTGTTTATCATGTTTACATTGTGAGCCATTTAAATAGAGTTTACAATAAATTTTTCTCTTTTGATGTAATTAAAATGTGCAATTGTAGGCAATATGGATCCTTATGTCATCATCACCTGCAAGAAACAGCAGAAGAAGAGCAAGGTCGCAACAGGTGATCAGTTTCTAGTCCGCCAAATCTCATACATTTATTTACATTGTAGAGTAATATTTTTTCTACATGCAAACCAATGGCCGAGCTAGGAATAACTTGTTCGTGTTTAAATAAAATTAATGTCATGCCAGCGGTCATTCCAAAAATATAGTTTTATGTTTGTGCAGCACAAGGGTCCAATCCAGAATGGAATGAGAGCTTTGTATTCGGTGTCGCTGATGGTGTGACAGAACTCCACTTGATGATCATGGACAAGGATACTGGTACCGCCGATGACTTTGTGGGAGAATTAAGGCAAGTTGTATCCCCAATCTGCAAAAAAAATTTCTAGTCAATTAACATTCAAGTTAGATTTACATTCGCAGCTTTTCTAATATGTACTTTAACATATGAACTAAGGTTTCATGATCATTGCAGTATTCCACTAAGAACAATATATGAGGAAGGGAAACTACCACCAATGAAATACAATGTCCTAAGGAACAAAAAGTACCACGGAGAGATTAAAATCGGATTCACGTTCACTCCAGCGGTAATATTTCTTTTTCATTAGTTACTTTCACGCTTAAAATCAAAATATTGAATCTAAATTAATTGGCAATAGATAACGCGATAGCGCTTCTAAATTCTAAATGTGGGATTTTATATTCCCAACAGAATTATTCTCTGAATATTTTCAAGTAACTGTGTGTTTTTTTCTCAGGTAACCAATGATCGAGAGTTGGAATTTGTAGGTGGATGGAAAGAGTCATCATACTAGACCAGTTCTATGTGCTTGAAATTTACACTCTTGGCTTAGGGCACTTCGGGGTTCCGACTCTAATAAATTGTATTCTCCCATTAATTACAAGAAAATTTCATTTTTTGAGATATTTTTTCTGGCTTTTAGTCATTTTTGAAGAAGAGCATTATTATGTTTATGTGCATGTTAATTTTCATTCATTTTTTTAATAAAAAAACAACTTCCTCGCACAACAAAGGCCGGGCCAAATACATCTGCAAGTAAAACAAAACCCTAATAGAGAAGGAACCTCCTTCCAAAGCAAAGAACAAGAAATTCTTAAACGTAGTATAGCAAGCAAAAGTGTACCCCAAAATTTCACACAGAGTCGGAGTAAGATCATTACTGATTACCCTACACGAACACAATCTTGTGGGAAGCAAGGGAAGCACCAAGAGTGATGCAGAGCACCACTCCTTATCAAAGACATGTCACTTTACATGATCAACCTCCATACACCACAAGGGCACCGCCTCACAACAACATTTTTTTGAGTGAAAAATACAGATGCACCGCTAATAGTACAAATGTGTCACCTCCATTTGATTCTGTCTAAATTTATTTTAAATGATTCTAATGTAAGAAGAGTGTAATCACCACAAACCAAAGATCACAGATATGCCATTAAGACACGAACTCAAGAACAACACTTGTAGCTTGTAAAGACCGGATATAGGTAACATACCTGCAGCACCCGATGATGATGATGAAGCCATAACAGCCTGCAAAACAACTAGCCTTCTCCTCTTTAAAAATAACCAATAGCTCTCAAAGTATAGGGCTCTGATATAATATAGGCCATGTATTGCAAGAGCAGTGACTAGTGTTTATATACTCAACACAATGTATTAAAAGCGTGAGGCGTGAGGCGTGAGGCGAAGCCTTACAGGATTTAATTTTTTTTTTTATATATATGTTTTATATATTATACATATAATTGTATAAAAAATAATACTATGTAAAATAAACATCCATTCTCAATTTTTCATTCAAATCCATAGTCATTCAAAAGATAATATCATTTAAATTCATCATTCAAAGGTAATATCACCCAAATTCATCATTCAAAAGGTAATACAAACAAAGAAAACAATCATTCATCCAAATCATCTTCATATAAATCAAAATACAAACAAAGATATAAATCATTCATCTAAATCCTCTTCATCTAACTAAAAGGCAACATCATCTTCTTCATTGCCAACTCTAGATGAACTTGTTGGGTATGTCATCATTTCATCAAAAGAATCTTCCGAATCATATTCCACATTTCTTCTAGTTCTACTTGAGGATTCTTCATTACCCCGTTTTCTTTTGTATGTAATAGGACCCCAAGGTTGAGTAGGCTCGTGAGGAGGAGGAGGAGGAGTAGGCTCATGAGGAGGAGGAGGAGGAGAAGACTCTCTAGGCTCTCGAATGTATGAGCCACCTTCATAAACCGGGGTTGGCACATTCCTTACGGCCTCAACATTATACAATAACTCATCCTCAAGCCATGTAGGATCTTCGGGAAGAATGGGATCTTCTATCTCTGTTATCCATTCATCATCGGATGCAATTTCTTCTACAACAATAGGATCATACTTCTCCATCCTTTTCTTACTTCTTTGTTGTAAAGCCAAATTGTAGTTGACATAGGCTAAAGCATTAAGCCTTTTTTGTTCAAGCCTATTCCTTCTTTTTGTATGAATCTACAATTAAATCAATTCTATTATTCAAGTCTTAACATTTTAAGCAAAAATGACACTTAAGATACTAATAATATATTTACTTACCATTGAAAATGTGCTCCAATTCCTCTCACATCCCGATGCACTACAAGTAAGGCTTAGAACTCGGATAGCAAATTTCGTTAACTCGGGTGTTTTATGCCCAAAGCGCTCCCACCAAGCTGCTAAAAAAACAACATTAATAAGGTAAGTAATTTAAAGGTTAATGATAAAAGGATATTAACAATTAACTAATTAAATCTTACTTAGTGTTCGCTTTTTCCTAGTTTGCATAGCCATAGAATCCACAAATGGACCACACTTATTAGTAAATAAATCCAATTGAACATCGGCCTCTTCACGGTCTTTCCCTTTCCCAAGCATCCTATCCATGCAAGCAAACAACTCATTTCACACTTCATCAGTATCTGAGAAATTATCCTCATATCGAAATTGTGGGTTTAAGTAATAGCCTGCCGCATGTAGTGGTTGATGAAGTTGATCGTCCCATCTACGATCTATCTTTCTCCAAATAGGCATATATTTTTTCTCCACTTTGTTAAGATTGCTTGCAATTTTCTCTTTTGCGGCATCCATCAACTCATATATAAAACCCATGGGGGGTCTCTCCTCCGAATCAACCTCTCTCAAAACACAAACAAGAGGAAGAACGCCCTTAATGCAAAAGGAAACTCGACCCCAAAACTCACGATCATATAACACATGATGCTTAGCCAACTTTGCTTCACGGGATTTTGCATAGGTACTTTCCGACCATTCTTGAGAGGTAAACAAAGCAACAAGATTTTCCTTTTGCTTTTGTAAGCTTTGTAGTGTAAGGAAAGAAGTGGCAAACCTAGTGACCGCCGAACGAAGAATTTCCGAATTGTTAGTGTACTTTCTCATCAAAGCTAGTACCCATTGATGCCCATATAGATACTTTGAAATACACCTAGCACGTTTGAGTGTGTCATCAAACCATGCCATCTTAGAAATATCTTTTAGCATCAAATCAATGCAATGAGCTGCACATGGAGTCCACCACACCTTCTCTTTCCTCTCCATAAGTTTTGCCCCGACATTCTTGTAGTTCGAAGCATTGTCAGATATAACTTGAACCACATTCTCCTCCCCAATTTCTTGAATAACGTCATCCATATAGCCATACAACAAATCTCCATTCTTAATAGAGGCCGATGCATCAACTGATTTGAAGAACCAAGTACCTTGAGGGCTATTGATAAGAAAGTTGATTAAACATCTACTTTTGCCATCCGACCATCCATCCGACATAATAGTGCATCCATATCTCTTCCAAGCCTTTTGATGTTCTTTCATCATACTTTGTACATCATCAACTTCTTCTTCGAGCATCCAAGTTCTATATTCATGGCTTGTAGGAGCATCAAAGCCGGGACCAAAATTGGATATCAATTTCATTGCATTAACATAATATTCATTGTTTGCCGCATTGAATAGAATGGCACTAGTGTAGAACTATAGGGCAAGTGCTCGAGATGCTTTTTGAAAGGTGTATTCAACATGGTTTGACGAGCTTCCGATGTAACATACCTATCAAGTGGTCCCCTTGACCTAGGTGGTAGAAAAGAACCGGTTTGTTGTGAATGTGTGGCACTCACACTCCCACTCCCACTACTTACATATGTTGTCCTTATTGTGCCCATATCGACACTTTCACCTTCTTCTCCACCACCACGACACAACTCATGACTAGCTTTCCTCTTTTCTTTAGTTCCCATAACATTAGCAAAACATTCTTCCTTCACATTGGGTAGGACTTTTTTACAACTTATCATTCCTCCCGAACTTACACCACCCAAGTGATGTTTGAATCTAGAAATTGAACCCGTGCATTTGTGGTTACAAAAAACACAATAAAAGTGCTTAGTGATAGGATCCAAATCTTTTGTCCATTGCCAAGCAAAATCTTTCTTAGAAGAAGAAGCCATATTCTTCAATACCCTAAACAATAAACAATAGATGCATGCATACAATTAATAAACCAACAATTTATTAATTAATTTATATACCAACATTTTCTAACAATTTCCAACAATTTATTAATTAATTTATATACCCCTTTAGTCCCGACTAATTAGGCCTAGCATTTAGAAATGTTTGGGTTCAACCAATTTATCTAAGTGCCAATTTACGGCACACGAACACAATTTATGGCAGGAGCATTAAATTGTAGATGTATAAGTGCAAAACAGTTTATGGCAGCACACAGACACAAATAAAACCGTGGGTCTGTCTCTCTGTTTTCTACTCTGATTCTTTCTTTCTCTCTCTCACATTCGCAGAAAGCCTTCGACAAGCCTTCCCCAGAAAACTTCTTAGTTAGGCAAAGCATGCAGAGGTAGATTTAAAACTTTTCTGTCTAACTAAGTAACTATTAACCCCTCTATAGCAAAACCTTCCCCAGAAAACTAAATCCCTAATTTTAGAAACCCTAACCTTTGGGATCTTGCTAACGGCGTTGGGGCTGGGCTGATGGTGCTGAGGTGACGGCAGCGGGGTGATGGTGGCGTGGCGGCGTGGCGACTAGACCGGTGTTCTGAGCTTCTGGCGTGCGGGAGAAGAAGAAGCAAGAAGGCAAAAGGCAAAAGGCAAAGGCAGAAAAATGGGATCGAATTCGAAGGTATGGTATGAAGACTGAAAATCCTTACCCAAACGACGTCGTTTTGGGTTTGGATGGTTTTTTTTTTTTTTAAAAAAAAAAAAAAAAAAGGGTCTGACAAGGCGTCCAAATGCCTTGAGGCGCGCCTCCGCCGCCTCGGCGTCTCCGGCGAAGCATTTCGCCTACTCTAGCAAAACTGAGGTGTTTGCCTCTCCGCCTAGCCTCAAGGGCGCCCTAGGCGTGCCCCAAGGCAAGTTTTTTAAAACATAGACTCAACATAATCCTCACTGTTCTGCTATTAGAATCAGTGTAGGACTCAAAACTATCCATTCCATATGCGTATAAACACAATACCAGTCCATGTTTAAGTCCTTAAAACTTAAACCATTATAAGTACTCTCAATCCCACCAGGATTAGGATTACTCAAAGCTTATTGATCAGACTTTTCCATATCAATTCATTCACTATACCCTAACATCTAATTCACACCTAATTCATACTCATATTCTAACATCTAATTCACACCACAAAAAGTTTCTTCACTAATTTTCTCTAAATTTCCAATTTTATTAAAAGAAACGTGCCAGATGAACTATAAAACAGTACAAGAAATGTCACCCTCAAGTAGTACAAAAACGTGAGAAAACCCTCTCTAATGGCTGTGATTTTTTTCTTAGCAAGGTTTCAACACGACGTACAATGTCTTCGCAACCTTCGCAGTTGTAACCCGGCCTCTTGATAATTATCTTAATGAAAATCTTCTCTTTGACAAAAAT